ATACTAAACATATAGATATATGCATTACCTTCATAAAGGAATCATCTCAAACAAATGCACCCTTACCTTCAACTAACTACTTATTGCTCCAACTTCATATTTCATCATCTATATTTAACCTTTTTACCTTTATTCCATTGTTTTAAAGGCATGATTTTGTTAAAAAATGCCAATCTTTCATGTTAACAACCACGAGACTTGTTCTCGAAACTTGAGAATCTGATACCAAGTTGTAAGATCACCCTTACTTATCCACAATTAATTTCAAAATGCTCAAGAGTTGATGCCTTAGTAAAGGAACAACTTTCTTTATCGCCCTCCCTCTATTTCAAACTCATTTTACCTTGTTTTGGATGTTTTTGCGTATTTAAAAAAAGCTGAGTCTGAAGATTATGCTGCATTGTAAATGTTTATGCTGCAGCATAACGCACAGTAGGTTAAAAATTCAATTTTTCTCTATAATTTGAGTCTGAATGACTCATTTCACTCCCGAGTCCAATCTAATGACTATAACTAAACCTAATAGACCTATTAGTCATCTCTACCATTCGTAAACTCATTTATACTTAATTTATAAATTTACTCTTCATTAGCTTAATTAATTAAGGGGATAATTTTTAAGATGTTACAGCAATGGTTTCAATGAAGAAGAAGACATGGAACGTTGGGCTTCCTCTTGTGAGATCATAGAATATGCTTGACTAACTAAGGGTAGGGGATTCATAAGCAAGCTTTGGCTTCGAATAGACGAATAGGAGTCATTAAGACCCATAAGAAATTGGAATAGTTTCTGTTGTTGAAGAACTTTGGCATACTTGATTGACGAATGGCATTTACAAGATGGCAGTGGAACGATTGTGGAGTATTCTTCCCATAGTTCTTTCAACTTTGTAAAATAGCTTGAAACTGACATGCCTCCTTGACTGAGTGCATTGATAAAGTGATGAAGGCTATAAATATTTGTACCGTCGATGACATCAAAACGTTCGCATAGATCATTCCAGACTTCTTTTGCGTTTTCTGAAAAGGTGATACTACCAACAATCTCTTTAGAGATCAAATTAATCAACCAAGACAGCACGACTGCGGTACGACGATCCCACTGGCTTTGAAAAATTTCATTCTGATGTTCTCTCTTACAAGATCCGTCCACTAGGCCGATCTTGTTCTTTGCATTGAGGGCCATCCTCATGGCACGATTCCAGATAGCATAGTTCGTGCTACCAATTAGCAGCTAAGCGACCAAGGTTGTCGCTTGAGTGTTCGACAGGTGGAGGTAGAGTAGATGATTCAGATTGATTGCAGAAGTAAATGATCGAGCACCTTTGATTTCTGTCATGATAGATCTTGGAAGCCAGAAAGGATGACAGCTGATGACAAGATAAAGGAAAGGGACGAGCACGATGGCAGAGAGATGGTGGCGAGAAAACAGATGAAGATGGTGGCCGAAAGAACGATGAAGCAAGGAAAGAAAGAAGATGAGATTTAAGCACAGAGATGAAAAATTAAAACTGGTCAGAGTATCGACCCGGCTCTGGTACTGTATTGGACTGACAAAAAACTTTGAATAATAACTTTTCTTTGATACGCCACTTGGCATCGCTATTCGTGGTCCCTGGACACAAAAAAAGTAGACTAATATACATCCAGACTAATATAAAACAAGACTAATATAAGGCAAAGCCTCACAAGCAGCAAACAAGAGAGCAACTAACATGGGCCCAAAGATAACATGGCTAGCCCAACATTCAAACCCATATTTCCATCTAACTCTCAACAAACATCATCAAACCTATATAATTTTTTTAATATAAGGCCGCTAAAATTAATTTGTGCAAGAGAAGACAAATCAAATCACGTCAGAGTGTAAAAAATTCCTAAACCCGTTAAGTGGAATGTCACAAAATCTTAATATAAATTTAAATTATCATTAGAAGCTTAATAGATAAGTCAAATAGCAAAATTAAGATATTAGCCCAACCTCCTTAACTTAACAACATAAGCACTATACGTTGTTGAGTTGGTGTCTCTCCTTACTTTCATTTCAATATAAAAAACGTGAGTCAGTTTAAATTTAAATAAGATTTTGAATATCTATTAATTTTAGCATTTTATGTTAATCACATGCTATTTCCATGTTTTGTTTTCTCCCCTACACAATTTCCATATATTGTTTTTTTTAAGTATTTTTAATAAATGAATAGCTTCCTTTCATAGATTGGGTGCTTCCATGAACATTATATTGCCTCATAATCTGGCTTATGCAAATTCTCGCACATTTTATGCAGCATCGATTAACTACAGTATTTAAATTAAGAAAAGTAGCTGAAATTAGTCCGGCATCACAAATTCTTATAATTACTTATATCTCTACGCAGTTGGAATATTTATATATTGTGAATTTATATTTATTAATTAACTCTTTATGATCTTGTGTGAATTATGATATGTGGATCATATAAGTAAATTTATTTAACTTTTATACTTAGACACAATGTGAACCATACAAAGACATATTAAATTAATAAATACATCTACAAGATATTTATATGTGTTTATATCAATCAATTCATAACATGATGTTTGTGAGTGAAAAAAACATATTGGATACACATTTTCATGCTTAGTGATCTAGATGATTCATATTGCAGCATTTACATGCATCGTGCCAATAAAAATTATAAATACCCCTACTAAAATACATGAATACATTCTCTGTATCTAATATAGGTCCTCATATATATGTTCATATAGTGTTGCATTCATGAAATACTACAAAATAACCAGCAGAAGTAAATATTAACACAAAGGAAAATTACTAAATCCATGCTCCAGCGACAACGCTACATAGTACAATTAAAAAAAATTAAATCACCCTAGGAGCATGAAAGGCTAATTGGTTTCAAAGAAAAAAAATCATACAAAGAAAATGAGGAGTATATAACTAAGAGTCCAAGATGGTCATATCAAGGAGGTTAATATTCTAGAAGATGTCAAGACATAATAAACTTTAAGTTCCTAGAGGATGATCAAATAATTGATATCAATAAAAAGATCTTGAAAAGTTGTCAATATGAAAAATGATGAAATTGAAAAGAATAAAGTTGTGGACAATATTTTTGAAGAGAATAAAAAAAATTACAATCAAATGAAAATTTTGATATGATATTGAGAAAAAAGATATAATACAAATATAATTACATTCACTTACTCATGATGTAAAAGTTATGAACTTATAGTTTAAGTACTTAAATGTCATATTATACATGAACGTTTATGGCGGGGAAAAAAAGAGATGTCACATGCAAAGCTCAACTTTTAATATAAAAATATTTTACAAAAATCCAACATATTTATTAATATATTACTTTTGTGATGGATGAAATTATTTTTAGACAAAATATTAGTCTGGCATTCCAAAAAAATGATATCCCCAGCTATTATGTGATGCTATCATCTAACCTAAACGAGGCAAACTTAACACTTTGATTATAACTCATTTATATGGCTCTCTAGACAATGATATTTTTTTGAGAATCCCAGAAGAATTTTAGATGACAAAAACTTATAAATATTTTTGAGAAATCTTTTTATTATATTTATTCATATGATTATATACACATTGATTTACATTAAAATTGATTGATTTAGCATTATTGAATATTCTAAAAAATTTATCTAAAGCATTTGATTATTAAAAAAGGATGTTAAGATGTTGGATGAATAGAATGAAGATCATTTTTTTCAAGAATAATAAAATATGGTCCTGAAATACCCTAACAAAACACTCTTGCAATAACAATGAGCACATAACTCAACCGAAAAAGAATTGTGTTAGCTTAACCAATAATTTCAATTTCAAGTCCTGGATATGCAGCTATGTTAAATAATCAGGAGAACTTTATCACTAATGTAATCCTACCAAGTTTGGCCATAAATTATAAGTAATTACATCAAAAGACAATAGAAACAAAGAAAGAACACTCACAATCTATGATATTTCATCGATTTGCAAAGAAAATTGTGTATTAGATATGTTATGTCTAAAAAATAACATTATGTGTCGTTGTTTGCCAAAATTTATTTACGATCAAAATTAATTAATTATTGGTGTTATATGTATCTAGTTAGATCTACACAAGTTGGCCTCTAAGAGCTAATTTATTATGAAAATACACGTGCATCATGGTGATCATAACGTTTCCCTTCCACAAGATATCCGGGTAGGAAATTTCTTCATATCCAGAAGATACCATTGAAGAAAATATTTCAAAATATTACATAAAAGCAACGGTTAAAATATAGTCTGATCAGGGAAAAAAAAAATCCACTCACAAAAACATGCAAAAATATTCAAGAAATTGACATGCAAATTTAAGATACAATGATTTAAAGAGACTCAAGAACAATGAATAATACCAAAAGAAATAGAAGTTATGTTACACTCTTTCTTTCTTATTTCCTGATTAGGATTTTAACGAGGTGATCACAATAAATATAAAACTATGGTATACCCTCTTTTTCATCGATATTTTTGTTTCATGGAATTGTTCTCGGTAAATTTTAACCAGACAAATATCTAAACGCACAAATAAGAGCATTATAATTATAAATATTAGAATATTTTGTAAAAGACAAACATCCAATCATATGTTATCCTTTCATCAATTTATACATTGTTTTTTGAGATCTGAATAGTACGTATTTGCCTGTGAATAGAAAGCCTCTCAATCGTCTCTCCCTAGTCCCATTCTCTCACTACATGTTTCTCTCTTACGATATCTTTTTAAAAAAATATTGAAGCCTTTTTCGTACTTGTTTCATTCTTTTGCAGTACATAAACATCTTAATTGCCATATAGAAATCAATATTATGTTCATCAACAATTAGCCATGTCATATATTCAGTGTTTCCTTTTGCAGAGAATCTAGTTTATTTTCTAATACTATTACCACATAAAATAAAATATAAAATATACTAATTTGATAAACAACCGCCGATAAAATCTTGAACTCAAACTTCATATTCAAAAACCGGTCCAGCTTTTAAACTTCAATCTCAACAAAATCATCCATGAAGTAGCAAAAACGACTTGAATTAAAATAAATGCTATTTATTCATCATTCAGTCCATTGCAAAAAGTGAAACATCTAAATGGCGCCTTCATCTTTGTACATGCTAACACGTCGTGAAACAACTAAACCATCTTTTATACCACCTGCTCCCATCTCGAGCCTCGCTCCCACTTCGCATTGTCAACCTTTTACCAAACCATATGACAATTGCAACACATCAACATATCTCTAGTTTCCAATGTCTCCTCCACAAATGAATCCTCTACATCTTCCTCCGCGATTAAAAAAACAGCGTGTAATCCCGAGATGGCATTAGATAAGTTCCAGCATCTGTCCAATGAAGCAGCAAACAGACGAAGACCAAAAACTTCAACGAAAATTCCATGCAAAATTCGAACAACAACCCTTCACATCAATTACATAAAGAATAAATCATTATAAATTAATCTACATTACGTCAGGCGCCCAAAAAATAAACACAAGCCTATATTACGTTATTCTAGTCTGTCTCATTCATTATAAAGTTTCTGCAACATAACACACGGTACTTTTGTCATTTACCTTGATGTTATTTACACATGGCTAGGGTGACCACAATGTTCCCATTACAACAACGAACATTTCATGTTACACATTACCACTTAAAATTAATACCATATATCTCAACATCCTCACCGGCAAAGCACATATGCATCCCTAAAATTCTAAATCCTAAGATTTAACTACTAGCTTCAAAATCTAATCAGTTGGTTTTAGAATACCTCTACAAGTCATTAAAAAAAATTACACTAATTTCGCAAAACAAATAGGTAGTTTCCCTAGAAATCAAGTCAATTTAATAAAACGTACATAACTCCTGAAATCACACACCAACGCCAGAAGGCTTTAAAATATGAAACAAAATCTGTTGCTTCACTGACGCTCAAACTCAAATCAAATTTGATACAACAGATGATAAATGAGATACAAGCTCTAGAATAAATTGTCCAAATTCCAAGGAATCTTCACGGGTCGACAAAAGACTAAAACCTCAAGAAAAACCAAGGATGACAAAAGCCCCAGCCCAGAGACGCCATTCACCCCCCATCTTCCAGGTTCAGAGCTTACAATCAATCCAAAAATATTTGAATGATCGACCCAAAAGAGAATGATAAAACAAAGGAGAAAACCGAATTCTCGCACAGCTCGAGTAACGAATACACAAGTAAAATGCCATAAAAATTCCGCAGGACAGCACCCCACAACATTAATTTCACAGGAAAAATAACTAGATACCATCTTAACGTAGAATCCCATCATGACATCATGAATACATAAACCGACATGAATTCCACTATTACCACTTTACAAGAGACTGATTTACTGATTTCTGAAACATTCTCAATTAACTCCATCCCTGAGCATAACTCAACTGAGAAGTTGCATCACCACAACACTCTACATCAACAGCAGCTTACGACCAAACACAAAAACAGGAGCAATTGATGCTCAAAGTTCTCCAAGGCCATCTAAACAAATGCCTGGCTAAAATATAAAATAAAAGCCTTCCGGAATCCTCCATGCCCACGTAGTGGACAAGTACAACATTGAAATTACAAAAACAAACTTAAAAAAGACTAGGAGGGGATGCGATATTTAGATGACAGAACATCCCCAAAAGGTAAACAGAAAGAAGCAAAACCCTAATTAAATCCAAAACTAAACCACTATTACATCTTCCCAACATAAAAAATTGTAACGGCGCACTTGAATTGTATCAAGATGTAATCCCAATCCCATACATATTTAACATATTCGATAATACGGGAGGATATGACATAATTGGATGGGCGTTACCGAAATCAATTGGTGCAACTATTGCTATTATAATAATGCATACGGAGCAACCGAAAATACAAAACAGGATCGAAAGAATTGCCATATTGAAAACATGCACGGTATTGATGTTCAATATTATTTTCACTTAGAAAAGATGAACCGATAAAAATTTGATCATTAAAAAATTGATCTGAAATACTTTTTCCAATAAGAAAACCGAAACCCAATTACCTTACGATCATATTATCGACGATCTCCAGAAAGCATTCTGCCAATAAAAATATTTCCAAGAATCCAAATTAATATCACCATCACCACGACTGGAGTAAATGAATGACAATATCAAAAATTTAAAGGTAGGACCGACTTGGTTCCGGGAGCCTTTGACTTTATTTTGTTGGATGATTAGCTCAACAAATGGATCTTTCCACAAAATAAATTACCCTGTCTGAATGATAACCGAGAGATTATATTGATAAATGATACCTTATTTGATTGAAGAGCCTAGGCAAATCTGCTGTCGAGAGTCCTTCGCGACCAGTTGGTTAAAGCGGGCGAGCAATCGATGAGTGATAATAAACGCAGAATGTAAAGGGAGGCACACACCACACCGGAGGGAGATCCCGGGCAACTCCCGTGCGATCTCCCCCGAAACCAAAAAATTACTTTCTTTATTAAGATAGTGTGACCTGCCATGCAAGCGCACCTGTCATGGCAAAGGTCGGATGACAAAGATTATTCAGGACTCAAAGCCCACCGTCTCCAGGCCCTTCATCCCGAAATCTTATACATCCATATATACCCTCAGAGCAATAATTAGATATACAAATATCGCAGATCTGCAACAGTAGAATCTACACGAAGACAGCAATGAAACCGTCAACGGCAATCAGGCATAAAGAATCCAATCATCCACCGCTGAAGCAGTCCTTGTGATGTGGAGGAAGGAGAAAACTAAACTTCCACCGATCCTCGTTGATTAGTTCGATCTTCCATCATACCTGCAGAATTAACATCTCGAAAGCCTTGACATAGGCAAGACCCAGCTAATTTCTACAGAATAGATGCCGAAAACAAGAACGATGAGACAACACCTCGAAACGGAAGATCCGAGGCAAGAAGCTTCGTCTGCAACTCAAAGCTAGAACAGAAGATGGAAAAGATAGATAAGAACAAGAACACCTGAGAAAGGAACCAATTAAAAAAAAAATGAACAGAACACTTACCGCTCAGAAACCACCATCGGCGTGTAGATCTCGATTCGATCCATGCGGATCCGGAGCCGATAGCCGGCAACAACAAAACCAGGAATCAAGATCTGAAGGCAACAGAGAATGCCGAGCCAAGGAACAAGGATGAGAATGGCAATCAAACCCTAGCCTGTTATTTATAAAAGGATCTGGGAGACGAACGGCTAAGATGCCTTTCTTTAACGGTGGAGATTATGTGACGTGTAAAATTAGGTGCCTCTCCTATTCTGTCGGTTAAGCGTTGTTGATTTATTAGCTAATAACAAATATTTTTTAATTTACTTGACCGACTTAATAAGGGGAAGAATATAAGAAAATTCTAAATTGTTTAATAAGTTTGGGCAAAGGCTGGAACAGGTTGGGGCCTGGGGACAAAGGCGGTATTTCCCTTTTTTTAAAAAAAAAAAATCTGGTGGGGATGCTTGGAAAGGCGGTGTTTTGATAGAAAATGAACGGCATTAAAGCGCAAGCTACTTTTGCGTTGTTTTTACGCTCAACGGATCCTACCGTTTCCAACACGTCTCTCGATCTGTCTCCATGCATCATCGCTGACGACTGACGAATGCAATGCTTATCGTTCCACGCGTTACACGGATGCTTAAAATGTCCCTTTCTTTGTGGACCACAGGAAGCATATTATTTTCTCTTTTTATTTTTTAATTTTAATTATCAATACTCTTTATAATATTTTAAAAATAAATTTATATAAATATTTAAGTTAATAAATACAGGGGTTAAATGAAAATTTTTTTTATACATATCAGATTATTTATATTTTGAATTAAAATTAATTAAAAAATATTTATATTTTAAATTAAAAGGAGTACAAATTAAAAGCAAGTCTACATGTTTGTTTATAAGAGGATTTCAAATCTCGTTAAGAAAGCAAGATATTCACATAATATTTGACAGTATCTCAAATAAAATTATTATAATGGGATGACACTGTGTGCAATCAAAAAAATAACTCACACTTGCTATTACAGTATAAGGGTTTACGTTTTAATTTATAATAGAGTAAAATGTATGTTTGATCTTCTTTTTTTTTTTGTGGATATCCAAAAGTATTGTCCTATTAAAAACAATGATATTCGACACATTGTCACACATTTTAAATTCAAAAACTTCATATATTAAAAATTTGAACATTAATTTATTATATTATAAGGGATTAAATTTCACTTCATTGATTATACATTTAATCTTTTAATTTTACATGAAGTTTTATTTTAGTTGGTTTTTGGTTATCTAACATATGTTAGTTTTATTAACAAAAAGTATTAACATTAAATTTTTAAATATTAATAAAAATATTTTTAAATGCTAGCATTTTAATATTATTTTTTAAAAAATAATAATGATAGTCACAAAAAATTATCATTTGAAACTAATGGCATTAAAGTTAAAAAACTTTAAAAAATATCTACTCCATCTTAATTTATAAGATATTTTTAGACAAAATTGCACATATTAATAAAATTTATTAAATATACTTTACAACCTTAATTTTAAAAAAAATATAAAATTTTAAAAATTAAATATCTTTTCTTAAATACTTCATTTATGAAAAATATTAAAAAAATAAAATATAATAAAAAAAGTAATATTAAAAATGTATCATTAATGAAAATGTATGTTTGTCAAAATATTTTATATTTTGTAATGCCAAATATTCTTTAAAAATATTTTATAATTTGAGATAGTGTAGTATTTTATAAAATTAAATAACCAATTAAATTTTATATAAAGTTAGAAAACTTAAAAACATTTTTGCCTATAAGATTCTTCGTGCAACACTAAGAGTAATTCATGTTTTTATCTAAAATGATCCAAATTATTACTCAACCTAGTTCATAATGCATGACATTTTTTTACAAGCAATTGTTCGTCCAAAAATAAGACATTTTGTAGTTTTAAGAAATATCTTTACTTTTCTTTATCTAGGTGGTAAGCAAAATTAAACCAAAATCAAAAATTAAACCAAATCAAATTAAGTTCAATCTATTCAGTTACATGGCTTGATTTGGTTTTCTTTTTTTCGACCTTAAATTTTGGTTGATCCATTTGACTTTGTTCGCAAGTTTCAAAACCATCGAGATTGGACCAATTGAATTATTTATATTTTTTTGACTACATAATATGTATGTATGGTTTATTAGTTTATATATATATATAGTTTATTTTATTTTTGCAGTTTAAAAAAAGTAAATAACTTCTATGTTATATTTTGCTTCCTCTTCTATTTCATATGGAAATCGCAGCCAAAGATCCCTGTGGAACCTTGTTTGCAAAAAAGACCAAAGAAATCTAATTTAGTTCTACATTACTTGGACTTATATGTGTGATTTATTCTGATGGTAAAATTACATCATTGCCTTAAGTTTTAAATTAAAAAGTATGAGCGTTCGATAGCCTATAGCTGTAGATATCGAAAAAAGTTTAACGCTAACGAAACCAATCGGAGTTGCTACTGTTATTTATAACATCTTAAATTTTTAATCTTTGATTTAAGTATATTAAACAAGGTTAGATAAATAGAATTTAAAGTTAATTAGTTTAAGAATTTTTGGAATGGCTAATGAACCTATTGAAATTTTTTTTAGCCTATGAATTGAATCTGGTGGTGTTTTAGGCCACTTGTGTAACTTTTTAAAAATTAACCTCCTATAAATCAGACTAATCAAAGGTAATTAAGTAAAATTATTATAATATGTGGTTAAAGAGATCTAATGAGTGTTTTTGAGAGTCGGTTCAACCTTAGATTTGGATTCAAAGTGAAATTAAATCATGTAGGCATCAAAAAAGAAGAAAAGCAAAGAAGTGAGACTCTATATCACATGCTATCGAATGTGCAGCATGCGCCACTATGTATTTGGTTAGAAAAATATGAAGAAACATCTTTGTACCACATTATGTGGCATGTGTGAAGTGCATTGCAGCTCATAGCCAAATTCTTGCAGAAATATTACATGAATCAAACTTGAAAAATAGAAAGAATTGAGGAAACTAGAAAGGGAGATAGAGAAAACTTGGAGCTCTACTAAGGTTTCTATTTGAAGAGATTTGGAGGTATTTTAAAACTATCAAACTTCAAGAATAAGTTTCCTAACTCTTCTTCTTCTTTCCCATCCCCTTTTCCTTAAGTTTTAGATCAGAATTTGTTAATGGGAATTGATTTTCGGTCTATATAAATTATAAGTTTGAATTCATTGACTTAAATAAAGTTAATGGGAGTTTTTTGAGGATTTAAACCCAAGATTTAGGGGTTTACACATTAATGGTGGCTGTTAGGTATTTATGTTCGAAAATTGAGTATTAATTATGGGTCTTCAAGATTGTCGAGTGATGTTAATAACCCTAAAGGAGTTAATGAGGCCAGTAAAGATTAAAGGAAGTTAATGTGCATAATGAGTATGAGTATTTATGAATGGAAGGGAAGTTAGGATGATTAAAGTGTAGAAATAGGAAGGTGAAAACCTATTTGGGATAATATTAATGGTTATTAGCATGATTAATTATATCATGCACCATGTTGGGCTTGAGAACAAGTTTGGAAGTAAATTATTTGAAAAGTAAACCTTTGACCACTCAAAAATTTGAAGTAACTAGGGAAAAGTTTTCTATGTAATTGTTTGTTAATTGATTTATAGGTTAATGAGCAAAATAAACCCTGAAATATTGTGTAAAAAACACCATAAACTCTGAACTTTTAAAATGTGCAAAATGAATTCTAAATTTTTAACTTCATAGTAAATTAAACCACCAAGTCACAAATCAACCTGGCTTGAATACTAAAATGTAACTCCCTTAATTTTCTTTTTAAAAACTAGAAATATTAATTAAAATATGCCAATAAAGCACTAGATCCTGATAAAATAGCCCATTGTTTAAACAAATTCGAGATTCCAAAAGTTTCACCAACCATTTGACTAAAGACAATCGAAGCCTAAACCATTATCATAAAATGAGCCAATGATTTCCATCTTAGTCAATTATATATTAGTTTAAAATTTAAACTTAAATATAAAGATATCAAAAAGTTCATATTTATGTCAACCCAAAAATACACAAGTTGAATCATCCTAGGTCATGGCTTATAAAAACCCATAAGTGACATGTGCCAAGCTAAAAAATGATCAAAGTCTATGGGCCCGAATCTTTAAGCACCTTCCTTTGGGACCTAGTATAACTCTCTCCTTAAAAATTGTAAGAGGTAATAAATGAAATCTAATGTCCTAATAACAAATGAATATTTTAGATAAACTAGCAAACCCTTTTGAACATATTTCGCAACCATATATTTACATTCATTGGTACTATAGTAAACCATTTCACAATCTAATTCACAAACAGGGCAATATTGTTTTCACGATATAATCAATTTAGATTTAAACCATTAAATAATATAAAAACCCAACGATGCAAGCCCTAACCCATCTTTATAGCCTTCCTTGTCCACCTTATATAGCTGGCTGGAGCTTAGATTGAAGATACACCTGGCCAAAAGTGCATTGCCTACAAAGCTAAACTTCCATCATTTAAAAAAGGCGCCCTACGTCTCATAGCCCCAAACTAGGGGAAAAGAGCCTTAACAAGAATGCCAACTACGGGATCCTTGGTGGTAGCTTACTATGCGAGAAAAATAATAATACAATTTCTAACACACCTACTATAATCATATCCTTCCTTATACTCCCTACAAATCCATCACATTTAAAACATTTCTAAAATACACAAGCATTCTTTAAAAGATTTAGCCATACTATTTCTAGTTTCTGAAGCAACTGCGCATGCTTGAAAATATTAAACCAACATCAAAAGTCAATTTCACAATCCAATAATCACCCAACAAAACTAGCATGCTTGAAAAGAATAAAATAATGATATAGCAATTTAAAAGTCACACAAGCATTTTAGACAGTTTAAAACACATGTTTATGATCCAAAATCAGTCAGATAAGCCCTCAGTGGGCACAACATTCCTAGAGCAGTTTTATATTATATATATAACAATAGTTTTCCAATGTAAAAAGAATAACTATTGTTATCTCTTTCCCAAACTAAAATTATACATGATGGAATGTACTCAATGCCACCAACTTAAACGTTGCTCTACAAAAACTAATAATAATGGATATAATTATTTAATAAATCTTAATAATTTATTTTTTTCAAAATTAAATCTAACAGTTTCCAATGTTTCCCATTTATCTATAAACTATTTTATCCTTTAACTTAAATTAATTTCTATAAATTTTTGTCTATTCTCCACCTCTATAAATTTAATAAACACCTCATATTGAAAATTTTCCCAAAAGACTTAAATTCTATCTCTTAAATTTATTCGAAATACATATATTCAATTATAATTCTCATATTCAGTTTATTTATAAATAAATTTAAACTCTAGAAAAATTATTTAGCCTACTG